AATATTTGGTAAGTGTATTTGGAAGAAAGTATTTACTTTTACTGAAGTAGAAAGGTTATTGGGATACTTAACTTTGATCTTTTTAAATGTAAAATGTAAAAAGAATTGATTTTTTTCCCCCATGAAAACTTTGCTACCCAGTTGCACAAGCCTTGACATTCAGACTTAGTGTGGTCAGATGGGCTGTGCCAGCATTTTTTAATACTTAACTAGACAGTGAGGTGGACTTTTGAGTTTATGAATCATCAAACTCAGACGTGCATCACAGGCTTTTTATCAGATACTGAGTCATAAATATTCCCGATATGTTCAATTAGGACAAACACAACGTGAGTAAGAATATTTATTGAAATGCTGCAATATTTAAAGATTATTTTAACATCTGTAATAGTTTGTCACTTATCAAAGAACAGAGAAAAACAAAATACTACATTTGGCAGTCGGCCATGAAGGACACTTTGTAACAAAAAAAAAATAGTATGAGACGGACACCATTTCCTTCCAGTTGGTGCTCGTGCTTCATATAACTTTGATTTGATGATTGAAACTAAATCAAAGTGAGCTGTAAATTAACCTGCATTCAAAGCCACATCCAAAGGTTTTGATCAGATTTTTCACTTTGATGGAATTCATTATCATACAGTGACACATGCAAGATTTCACCTTAGTGCAGTTAAATCTTTTTTTCTTTGAGTCAGTTGAGATGTTTGAGTCAGTTTATATTAGTTACATGATGTCAATATATTTGAAATGACAAATCCTATTTAGTTCTCCACCCATGATTAACTGCATGCAAACAGTCACAGCAGTCACTAAACACAAAATTTATCTGAGGGAAAAGTGGGTGGAACAGTGACAACAGCTGATAAGGTGTTTCACAGCAGGGCACTGACCACTAAAAGCAAACAGTGGCGATTTGGAAACATAGAAACTGAGAAATACTAAAGCAGAGAACAACACGTGTCAACTTAGGGCGTTGTACAGGTGTTATGGCACATCAGGTGCTCACTGACCAATCACAAAGGAGGATCGTGCACCAACAATTTTTGAAATGTTTTCACATGTTGCTTCACTGAAGCATGAATCCAGTTTTTAAAAAAGCAATCATTAAGGCGACAGTCATTTTATCACATGCGTGATAATGTGCACGTAATAGCAAGGCACATTTCAAGAAAGCTAAAGCAGACAAGCGTGAAGATATCAAGCACAATGAATAAAAGCTAAACTGGAATACACAAACAGAATAGTTCATCCCAAAAAAAAAAAAAATCGTGCAGTTTTAAGACTATTGTTTCAAAATAAAAAAATAAACAACCCTATTTCTCAGCTCTCTACGCTGCCTAGCTGTCAACACACAAAACACTCGTCACACCAATGTCCATAAGGCACATGTCCTTGACATAATATCACAAATCTGTTTTCTGAGTGTCCAATCGTGTGTTTACATGACATATGTCTTCTTAAGCTAATTTCTTTTGAAAATAAAATAAAATCTATTAGTGTGTAAACAAAACTGAAATTGAAAAGTATATATTGAAGAAAACCCTTTTGCAGAAGTGAAGGGCTTTAAAAAGCTCTGCTGAAATATCTCACAATCTCGTTCAAAAAATGTGAATGCATTATATATGCATTTTTTCATGTAAAGGTTAAATGATGCAGTACTTTTGTGCACTTTCACGTGCACCACAGAAATGGCCAGCTATCTGTCTCCATCTAGAGGCAAAGCTTGGCTATCACCAGTGACCGTTGTCAGGATAGCTCGGCACTGCTGCAGGGTACTGGGGCAAGCTCGGGCCCTGGGCTGTCTGAGACACAGCGTTGAACCCTGCTTCCCTCACTGGAGCATTTTTCCACAGGCCGGTGCTCCACTCCTCCTGAGCGCGCTCCAGACTGCCGCCACCGCCACGGTACAGTCTGTGCACCTGCCATGGGAAAACAAAGGTAAGAAAAGTTTATGTTATGTGTATTAATGTGTGTTCTCGAGTGTATGTGTGTGTTTATAAGCGCAGGGGGGGGGGGGGTCTACATTCACAAGTGTGTGCATGTTTTCAGAGAATGTGTGTACTCACCCTAATGAGCACCAGTGCCATTAAAGCAGTCACCAGAGTGAAGAGCAGAGTTGCAATAAGCATCACTATAGCGGAGCCCACATTTTGGCTGAAAAACATCACCGTGGCAATCCAGCCGCTTTGATGTGGTGGTGACAGTGAGATGGAGTAGTATGGGTTAGTATACAGCAAAGTGAATTCAACACAAACATCAACCAAAATTACTAAAGTGCCATTAAGAAGTGAGGAAACAGGCTGGGTAACAAACAGCAGATGATCAGTGTACAACTGAATTATCACCACATGTCTCTTTAGTGAACAGTGATGTTATCACAAGCGATGTTCAGTTAGTGGCCTTGAAGGCTGTTTTAATTTCAATTTAAAAAAAAGAAAATGTGGCCTTTGAATAAGACTCATGTGGCAAACACTATGTCAGAAACTCAGAGACAACCATAGAAAAAAGAATTCTGAGTAACAATTTGAAGATAGAGTCTGACTAAACAATATGGTGTTAACAACCTCCTCATGTGTTCATTTAATGGTTTTAAACAGGCAGACACTTTAGTACAGGTCTCAAAGATAATGAAATCCCTCATCTTTTGGCTCATCACCACCACATTATCATACGTATCAGGACTTATTGCATAAGATAGAGTCACTTGAACTTTGGTGAACTGCAAGGATAGGTTTGGTTACATCTGTGTGCTGTTCAAAGAGGTTTCGTAGTTTCTCAAGAAACAGTGAGATTGTTTTTTGGAGGAAGTGGAACTACAGCAAGCACAGGTTCTTCTTGCTGCTCATTCCCTAAAATAGATATAACTTTTTCTTGAAATAATTACCATTTTCATTCAATTATGACTTGATTCTTTTAATATTATGACTTCCTTTTCAATTGCTAATTTATTCTTGTAACATTAATATTGTTAAAATCTGAATTTTTTTCCTTCAACATAGCCCTGATACCCTCTTAAATACTCAAGGCAACTGGGAAATGTGCTTTTCATCAAACAAGTTTTCACACAAGACGCAGTCTGGTAAAAACTGGGATGCACAGACTTCAAAGCTGGTTTGATTCCACTCACCATGTTCCCCAGTTAGATATGCCTATAGTCTGGATGAGGGCCAAGACACACTGGAGAAAGAATATGAAGAAGAAGGCCATGAAGTTGAACGAGCTATCAGCCCTGCGAAAGAAATAAAAAAGAAAACTAATTCAAAAAAAGATACAGTAGAAAACAAATAATCCTAGAGTTGCCCTATTTGTGTTGCACTGCTGTGTCCTCCTACCGGTTAACAACATGTGGGTCAAACTGGCAGCAAACTCTGGTGAAATGATGATGATGCATTCAACTGAACAAACCACAGAAAAGCTAAATGTTCTTAGTAACCACGATGGGTGCAAGTGCAAATCATGAAGCAAGAACCTCCTTCAGAAGAGAAACAAGCATGGTTGGACTCAAACTTAAGACGATTTCAGACATGAAAGTCGTTCCAGACTTTCTCTGGAGATTTCCTTTCACACATGAACAGCAGGGGACACTTTGCTCAGACTCCTTCACAACAACACAGAAATCTCTGAAGTTTTCAGCTGAAGGGTGGTGCAGCAGACAGACAGGATGTAATGTATTAATTCCACTGTGGAGATAGCACATTTTTGTTTACATCACATTGACACTGGCCTCTGCTTTTATCACCAAAAGCTCTCTTGACATCTCCGTCAGTGTCTTCTACGTGTATGAAACCTTTTTTTTCATCCTGAAATATTTGTTGTTTTTCATTTTGGTGTCTGTCACATTTTAAAAATGCTTGAGGTGATTCCTTTGGAGGATCTCCTGCTGTGTTCTCACATGGGCTCATTCAGACATTCTGCTGAGTTTTTACTCTGGGACTGGCCGGAGAAAGTCCAGAGGTTCTCACTCGAAAATTTGTGTTCTCACATTCAGCCCCTCTAGAGATTCTCAGGAGTTTCGTGCATTTCTGAAAGCAGCCATAAAGATGCCCCCTCAGCCTGCCAAGACAATACCTAAAAACACAAGGATAAAGCTGCTTTCAGACATGCACTGGACTCTGCAGATCCTCTGTTTTTCCTCTGGAGGAGGTGCAGGTGTGAACACAAAAGTCAGAGTTAGAGGCTCTGCAGTTTCTGCAGATTTTCTCCGCCTGGCCTCCTACTATAAAGTCTGTAGAGATTCAGGAGAATCTGATGTGAGAACACTGAGAGCGAGTGGGGGGGGGTTGATGACGATTCTAGACCCAAGAATGAAAAGAACATAGAACACACCCAGGAAGACGTCAGGAGAGTTTGTGGCCATCACCGGTATCTGTGCGTTGTTACTTCCTGCCTCTGTCTTGATGCTGTTGTGAACGCGTCAGAGAACCTTCCGCTGCGTTGTGCACATGTGAAAGGCAAACTGTCTGATCCATGCGCTTTAATCTAAGGCAAACTCAATTCTAATGGAGCTTGAGTCATTTCATAACAGAACTTGTGACCTGTGCGGACCACATCATTATAATTGGTTAATTTTAACAGCACATCTGATGCAGAGTGGAGCGTTCACAACATTACTGAAACATCAGATTTTTCTAAGGCCGTCTCTGAGCCCACACACCACTGACCTACTTCTACTTGGTGGGTTTCCTGCCTGATCAGTTTCATCTTCTGCTCCATCATTAACAGAACCTGGTCCAGTGATTTCTACTTCGACACTTTAAGACATTCAGGGTGAAAATGACACAAAACTACACAAGACATAGTTTTCCATGCCTGAAACCTTGCTTGTGTAGAAATGTGATCTCCTGCAGTCTTAGTTTACCCATTAGTTATCTCTGAATGACATAAACCAACATCAGATTGTTATTTTAACAATGTTGATGTGAGCAGTAAAATCATCAAAACCACCCTTATCACAAAGGCTTCCAGTTTATCAGCTTTTCTATTGAAAAATAAACCGGACATATCCCACCCTCCCACCCTCTGCTGCACAGTCATGTTCATTACTAACCAGTTGGATACAGTTAACTGGATTTGTTACAAGTTGTGACACATTCACATTTGCTCTAGATTCAACTCAAGTCAGCCTCGTAAAATAACTAAGAAAAGGGAGCAATCTTCTCAGTATCATCAATGATTCAACCAAAGTGTCAGAAGAGGAGCCATCTTCACTTCCTGCTGCTGTCAGACTTTAAAACCCCAACTGTTCCCATGTTGACCTCATACCACACAATTCTGACAAACAACGGCAAAACAAATTCACTCAGGTGTTATTTCATAAACTGTCAATGCTTCAATGTTTCTTCGTTGCCATTTTTATATTTCTCTTATGTTTATTAATTTTGAATGATGCTCCCTATAATTTCTGTTCCATTTGTTGCAAACACAGCAAATGTCTTTGTTGTGGTACTTGTCTCTTATTTTATCTTCTCAGTTCTTCGCTTTTAAAACAGCCATAGCGGACCTTAATTCTGTTAATTTACTCTACACAATTACAGACCACACTCAACTCTCCCCTCATGTCAAACTCTTAGAAAAGGTGGTTGCATGACAAATAACAGGCCATTTGTTCAGTTACAATCTTCTTCTATTCTGTTCAGACACAAATACTCAAAAATATTCATAACTGCAATGATCAGGATAGAACTCTTATTAACTGCCATCAATCATGAATCATATTGGAGATGTGTACAATAATAATACAAGCTGCATCTTACTGCTCTGAAGTCACACATGGCGATCCACAGGGATCATTTCTTGGACCACTTTTGTCCATCAACAGATGTAGAACAGCTTCCTTTATATGAATACCCACAGGGTGAGGGTCAGTTTTTATTTCATGTTCCATAAACCAATATCTACTGTATGTGTGTCTTTACATGCAAAGTCTTACTGCTGTGTGTCTGATATAAGACAAAGTGGACAGAGACTGTTTTGGCAATGAGCAAGTTAAATAAACTGACGTTAAAGTGCAATCTGTTGTTTGTGATTTTCACCAGATGACAACTAACCTGAAGGCTTTGTAGAGTGGTCTGAACCAGCAGGTGTAACTACAGGGGCTGAAGAGGATGAGCCAGAGCAGGGAGAAGCCAAAGTTTGTGGCACTTCCACCCCCGGCCCACCAGGCAATACACGCGATCACGTTCATGCACAGCGTGCCTGAATACACTGCAGAGGTGAGAGGACGGGAGGTGTGCAGAGCGGTTAATGACGAACACAAAATTAGAAATAAAAATAAAGTGTATGCAGTTTCGGAAGACTTACTCATCCAGAGAATGTAGACTCTGCGCACCAACTGCTGGTGGGGAGCAGGGATTTCCTCCTCAATGTTCTGGTAGAAACATGGTTTTATTCTCAAAATCTGAGGCAGGGGAGGAAAGTTATTCACGCGCTCTGAAACAAAAGGGGAAGTGTCTTCATTATTTTGCTGACTTACTTTTCTGACATTATTTCACACATACAAGGAATCTGCCCAGGTTTTGTGCAATCATAAATACATGTATACAATACAGAAGAAAATAGATAAGATAGATAGATAGATAGATAGATAGATAGATAGATAGATAGATTTGAAGTAACAAACCTCCCATTTTTAAATCCCAGCTATCCCTGGAAAATAAGAATACACAGAATAGACAGTTAACGGTCGAACAGGCTTGAAGTCTAAATTATTTTGCACTACATATAATAGCCATGATTACTTGTATGTATTTGCTTCATGATCAAACGACAAACAAAACACATGTTAATGTTATGTTAATGTTAAACCTCAAACCAGCTTCTGTAGAGACACATTCATTTCAACATGTTTCTACAGTTTGGATGCACATTCCAACTTTGGTCAAACTATTAACTAATCTTAACAATAAAACCTGGAAGAGTCCATTTTTCCTTTAAACTGCAGCGGTGTGAAGTTAGCCTGTGTTAACTTTGTGTGTGATGTACATGAGATAGTAGCTGAAGCTCAGCACAGACGGGCTAACTGTCTGTTCTGTGACGTCCCTGCTTCATGTGACTGACCTGATCGCTGATGACAAACCCTGGAGACGCTCTTACGGTTAACGCTCGTAACGGAGAAAGCACAAGAGGCACATTTACCGGAATAACGTTTATCTCCTCACGTTTCCGTCGACAACCGCAGGATCCTGGAATCATTCAGATTAATGCGCGACTCCAGCACACTGCGCCTGCGCCGCACCGCTGAGCTTGTAGTTCCCCAACTGTTTACATGCAGCGAGCCCGGCGGCCGGAAGAACTACAAGTCCCAGGGTTCGCGTGAGCGGCAAATGGGAGACGCGTGATTGTCCATCCTTCACACCCGTCCGCATGAGTCCCACCCACACACCGTGTATCCCACATTGGACTGTAGTATCCCACCCGTGATGCCAGTCTTTCACCACGTTAGAGCGCGTCCTCTACATCGTAAAGCAGATCGACTGAACCATTCTCGGCCATAGTCAGGAAAAGTCTTTACTCCACGTCCATGTTTGACAACTTTGTCACAGATAGAAACAAAACTGACAGTGAGCGACACTAATGTTTGTGTCTGTCTATGTGCATGAATATATGAAGCAGTGTGAGTGTACATATGTTAATAAACACTGCACCCTGCCTTCATTCAGACTCTTCATTCATTTCACTGCATATGTGTAAATCATCCGTATTGTACTGTCCCACAACATGGCAACCCTGACTTCCCGAAGTCAAACACATCGACCAATCACAAAGGCCGAAACATCTGACAGAGGGCGTGCCCTGAGAGGCAAATGTCGGGTTACTCCACATGCTGTCCTCGATGGGGTGGATAGTAGGTTTATAACAACAGATAACAGATCCAGTAGAAAATCAAACCCGCATAACTGATTGTTTGTGTTTCGAAATTCAACTGTCGCACAACACTTGAAGATTTGATGTGGTTACAAATCGCCCTAAAGCGCTTCAACGCGCGGAGCACCGAGCACGGTGCAGCTCCGGTGTCTAAATCAAACGCCTCCTGCAGCGCACAGTGACTTGGCGCTGACCAATCGGAAGAGGTTATTGAAGCGAGCGACACACTCCCGCCAATTCCGACTGAGCGCGAGGCAGGCATCGGGGTAAACCGAGGAAGAGAGTGGGAGAGGAGGAAGGAGCCTGCGTCATGGTTTCTGTGAAATAGATTAGAAATACACGTCGTCGAGGTAACCGCGTAGCTTTTTGTTCAGCATCGGGGTAGTTCTCGGGTGTTTCCACGAACGGTTCCGTTGTTTCGCCGGAGAAATCGCTTACGAGTGGAGCCCCGGTCAGTGTTTGGGATGTTGGCGGCGGAAAACCCATCTGTGGACGGCCACTTGGCAGCATCGACACCCCGCAGAAGAGGTAACGCTAATGTCACGTCCAGCAGGCGTGCAAACGCTCTGAAAAGAGACCAAGATGTTTACTGCTGCAATGCGAGGGGCTGCACTTCCTTATTGGTTGTATTTGGAGAACCCAGACTGGTGACAAAGTTACTATCAATTAAAAACACTCCGCCATTAGGAGCTCCGTTAAGTAAGGCCAACCACCTCGTTTTCCCGACGACACCAGTCAGAGTTTGCTGTTGTCACTGCTACGAGTCAAGTGTTAACGGATTTAATGTGCAACTCTGCCGCTAAGCTTCAAACATGAAGACTAGCCACGCACAGCTAACCTGCTACCCGGCCAGGGGTTAGTTTATGATAGAAACATCACCACAGAGACTTGGAAGAATATAGCGATAGTGTCAGAGTGAAGATTCAGAGAAAGGTCAGAGGAAACGTACCAGACTTCGAAACAACACCGGTATTCCTAAATGCTACTTTGGATCCGTAAACGTCAGTAGAATATAACAAAGTAAAGTTTATGAAACTTCCTAACACACACGTTTTTCTACCATGCTTCTGTCACGTTGTGGTTAAAGTGTGTAACCTGGTGGTAAACTTTGTTAGCCGGTTCGCTTTGCTGCTAGCTCGTAGCTCCGGCCAAGAAGTGCTTAGCAAAGATGCTAGTTTTGTTAGGTTAGCACACAGGCTGCTAATGCTAGCGCCCCGTGAGGTGGTTAACGTTAGCATCAAACATGGAAGTCTCATAGGTGAGCTCCTCCACAGCTCAGACTTTGTCGTAGCTCGTTCACGCATCCACATTCACCGTGGTCGAAGCACACGACGTTAGAACCCTCCATTGTTACAAGAGGTTTTCTGGGGGTTCTGACTGTAGCCAGGCGGACATCCTTTCCACCCCCGACAGCACTACGGTGCTCGCCCTGCGGACCAGACCGGGCCTGCTGCACCGACGACTGCCCCGGTTGGCGGGAGAGCACACCAAACACAACCCTTACATTCATTGTCACATTGTGACCGTAACACATCGGCGATGGAGACTGTTCTGGCATTTCATGAAACACCCCGAATAACAGAACTGTGAGCGCTGCCGGGGCGCGCTATAGTTTCACATTAAATACATGTGATGAGGAGATTAACGCACTGCAGTAGCTTCTCTGGCATGAGGTCATCACAGCAGCACACTAAACAAACAACACGGATTGGAGTCAGTGTGTCAAATGTGCCGTCTGCACCAAGGTTCTGTTATTTCAGATATATGTGTTCTTATGAGTTATAACTTTGAAAGCTTTATTTGCAGTGACAGCACCTTCAAGAAGTGTCAGTCTGTTCACTCTCATTTGATGTTTTTCTTTGACCACTTTCCATTCGACTTCATTATTTCTGTTATCTGTCTCTAATTATTGTGACGTGAAGTTTTGACATGATGTATGATTTTCTGATGTGCCAATGTTTTTGTTCTTCTCAGGCATGGATTGTAAGCCAAGTAAAAATGCCAACAAGAAACTTATACAAGGTAAAAATCTAACATAGATTTTTTATTTTTCATGGGTTTTGACACAGTTTATAGATGATTCAGAGTAAGACCTCAGATATTGTTGATCTAGCATGGATGGTTCATAACTTTAATACAATCCAAATCTAATAATACCTATATTTAAAGTAGCTTTGTATAGTTGGCCTTTCCTCTTGATTATTCTCCACTGGTAGATTTTATAATTACCTTTTAGAACAAGCTCAAAATGTGGAACTTTTAGTTCTGCTAATACACAGAAAATCTTTGCAAGTTGTAATTCGGTCATTCTTTTATTTAAGTATGTAGTATTGTGCAATGTTTAAATTGAACTGTTTTAAACCTTACAGATTTCTTTGCTCCCTGACATGAACAACTTTGAATTGACCTCATCATCTGTTTTACATTATATTGACTCAAACAACACAAGTGTGGTGGTGACTATTTTTCTTCTGCCCGCAGCTCGTCTCCCATTCAAGCGCCTGAACTCCGAACCTAAAGAGAACCATCCACATAAACGCCCCTGCGCTCATGTCTACCCCGAACCTTCAGACAGAGAAAACGAGAATGAGTCCTCTCCTCTCCCCAGACCACCCCTGGTTAATGGTCGCGGGCCCCTCGATGGCTTCTTGAGCCGAAGGCGTTCCACATCCTCTAACAAGAGCATGGTTATTGATCTGACTGAGGACAACGCCTTGTCTCCTGTAAAATGCCTTGTTTCACCTGCTCCTCCTTCTCCCTGCCCCCCAACAAAAGACAAGCATCAAAGCACAGACAAAACTGCCTCTTCAGAGAAATCCAGCAACTTTGATCAAACTCAGACACACACTGTAGACTGCACAGTCGACAATAATGATGAAGTAGAGGAGGAGGAGGAGGAGGAGGATGATGAAGAAGAAGAAGAAGAAGAAGAAGATGTGGATCAAACATCTATTTCACAGATTGACACAACACAGGATTCTGACAGTGAATCAGAGGAGCAGAATGAGTCAGGAAATGTTTCCAGTTTGGGAAATAAGTCCGTACTGTCAGCCTCATCAGTCAGCTCCATGTCTGAAAGTTCTCCAGAGAAGTCCAAGACTGATGACCCTACACCCACTACAACACCCACAGTATGCACATCTCTCTGCTTTCTGTCAATCCCACTGAGGGTTGTGTAAGATTTGCCGGTATAACTGGGGCTAACGATGTTATTTTGGACAAATATCTATAATCTTTGAAGATGTTTAAGTACAGAATTATTTTAGATAAATACATACAAAAACATTTTGTGAAACACCAGTTGTGTAATGGTATAAAAAGCTCTAAAGAATAAGTATTATATATAGTACAGTATCAATATTATTAATAAATATGTCGGACTGATTACCAGATTTGCCCCCCCCCCTCTCATAGGAGCCAAAGACCACCCCCAAAATACCAGAAGATCAGAAAAAGATCAAAAGACGCTCATTGAAGGTGAGAATTCTATTTGTCTTTTTAAAAAAACATTGATTAAAACACAATGTGATTTGTTACAGGTTGTATTTGCCACCCTCTTCATTATTTATTAAGTATGAAACATTTTCTGAAATTTTGCAATCGCAGACTTTACAAGAACAAGAGGAGAGGCTTCGTTTGCGCCAGGAGAAGGAATGCCAGAAGGAAGAGGCTAAAGCTGCAAAAGAGAAAAAGAAAGAAGAGGCTCGCAAACTGAAAGAGGAACGAGAAAGAGAAAAACGGGAGAAAAAGGAAAAAGACGAGCGAGAGAAACGAGAGAAAAAGGAGAAAAAAGAGAAGGAAGAAAAGGAAAAAGCGGAGAAGTTAAAAGCAAAAGAGGAGCTACGGAAATCCAAGCTAGAGTGAGTAATGCAAAGTTCCTGTTACTCTAAAGCCTATTTTTTTATCCATCCATTGGACAATTTTCGGTTCCTTAAGTCTGTGCAGGATAAAAGTGGTTTAGCACATATTGTATGGATTTTGTTGAGCTAAATGTGCTGAAACTTTCCTTAGAGCCAAGCTTGAAGAAAAACGGAAGAAAGAAGAGGACAAGCGAATAAAGGGAGAGGAGAAACGGTTGAAGGAAGAGAAAGATGTAAGTTTAAACAGAAATGTTGCATGAGCTTGGTGGATTTTACCAGAAAATATTTTGATCTACATGTTTCTGTTTACAGCGCCTCAAGGCTGAGAAAGCAGAAATTACACGTTTTCTGCAGATATCCAAGATCCAACAAGCTCCAAAGGTCAGTGGATCTCATAACAAGATGTGAGATTGGTTTCACTTGAACTTTTCTTGGATTAGGACATAACTACATTGTTCACGTTGTTGCCCCTGCTGTGGTAAGTTGTCTACCGGTCTTCTTGATGGCCAGTCTGACCATTATAGGCTGTTCCATTGTCAATGCGTTAATGAGAGAGAAAGAGCAGGGAAGAGACTGGCTGAGCAAATCACTGTGACTGCCTACAGCTTCACAGTGAAAGAAAAATGTACTCTTATTGTTAAAGTTAAAAAAACCCATATATTTCTATAGATATCAATAAATGGCTCAGTGTTGATATTTTAGTCTGTTCATTATGAAACTAGTTGAACAAATTAGACTAGTAGGTTGTATCAGTCTAATTGTTGGGAAAATGCTCTGATGTAATGTATCAATAAGTGAAATAGCATTTATTTATTACTACAAATATTTTAACTACAGCTTGTCCCTGTGTTGTTTCAGACGCTTGCAGCTGCATGCGGGAAGTTTGCTCCTTTTGAGATAAAAGAAAACATGTATCTGGCACCGCTGTGTCGGGTTCAGTGTGCAG